TGTTAATTATTATAATTTAAGAAACTTTTTTCTCTCTTGCTGTCTTTCTTTGTTTTGTATCGAGGTGGATCGAGTAGCTGAGGTACGGACAAATGATTGAAAGTTGGGAAAGAAGAAAGAAAATTTTATGATATAGAAGTTTATGTGCATGTATGCTATGTAATTCTAAATATTTCTATTTTATGTGTTTGTATTTGTGTGTTATAATGTATTTGTGATGTATTTGTGTGTTATAACTATGTTAATAAAATGTAACATAAGATGTAATCATATTTTTTCAATTTTAAAATCTATAATATTTTGTTTATTATATGTAAATAGGTGTCTAGGTTTCTGATCGGGTGGTCTCACATCCCATTTGACCACGTGACAATTGACTGTGCAACTACTTACAGGGGCAGGTGTTTGAAATTTTTCCATTGGATTAACTAAGCAGATATTATATTTATTACTAATTAGTTTAGCAACGTGAGCAATTGGATCCCACGTTTCTTATGCCACGAATTAATTCAAATAACTGCATAAATATAATAATTAATAAAACTATAAAGAAAATGCAACATCTCCATTGTACAATTAAATATACGTCTCTTACATACTTTATTAGAAATATTATGCATTAGTAGAATTGAAACATTCTGACCATAAAAGTATTAAAGTCAATATTTTTTTCTAGAATTGTTTATACATGTGATGTAAATATTGTCAAATTTGTCATTTTATAATTTCAAAAAAACACTTATAAAATGTAAAGAAATGTAAGTATTTTTTCAGATATTTTTGCATAAATTTAAAATATTCTTATTAAAATATTAGAATATAAAAATATAATTTTTAGAACATATTAATTATATATTAATATTAGAACATAATTTTTAAATTTTTACAATGGCAAAAGGTTCAATGTTAATTTGATTTATGCTTAATTTACTTAAAATGCCTTGCTTAAAATTACATATTTATAGCATATGAATTGTGTACTCATGTATCAAAATAAAATAAAAAAGAGAACAAATTATGAAAGGAAGAAAAATTGAAATAAAAGTTAACTTGTGAGTGTATGTGTATCTTTTCTTTGTAACCTAATAAGTGTGTGT